GTCCCCTCGGAGCGCTCCAGGATGTCCCCGCGGCCAAAGTGCCACCCGCGGCGGCACAAAGGGCCACTGTCCCTTGCCATCCCCCATGCATTCTCCAGGGCCCTTCGGCGGCAGCCCCGGGATTCGGGATTCGCTCCGGTGGTGGCCGGACTGCGGATCCGGAGCAGGTTCCTGGTGTCGGGGTGCCACCGAGGGTGACGGTGACGCCTTTTTGCCGCCTCGCAGGGCTCTCGCCGTCGCTCGCCATCCACGTCTACACACAGCGGGAGATCTACGGCACCGTGGGCTCCCACGTCACCCTCTCCTGCAGCTTCTGGTCCAGCGAATGGATCTCCGAGGACATCTCCATCACGTGGCATTTCCAAGCCGAGGGCTCCCGGGACAGCATCTCCGTAAGCACCGTCCTTCCGTGCATCCCAGTGTCGGGACAGCCCCACTGTGCCCGGAGCCGTCCTGACCCCGCTGTTTGTCCCGTTTTTTCCCCCTCTTTCCGTAGATTTTTCACTATGCCAAGGGGCAGCCCTACATCGATGACGTGGGCACCTTCAAGGAGCGCATGGAGTGGGTGGGCAACCCGCACCGCAAGGACGGCTCCATCGTCATCCACAACCTGGACTACACGGACAACGGCACCTTCACGTGCGACGTCAAGAACCCCCCCGACATCGTGGGCAAGTCCTCGCAGGTCACGCTCTACGTCTTCGAGAAAGGTACCGCGTGGGGACGCGCTTCCCGCTCCCGTTTTCCCCCCGCCGCGTTCCCGGCTTTCCGGGCGCTAACGGGGAGCTCGCGCGCCCGCAGTGCCCACGCGCTACGGCGTCGTCCTCGGCTCCATCATCGGGGGAGCTTTGCTGCTCGTGCTCGTGGTGGTGGCCCTGGTCTATCTCATCCGTTACTGCTGGCTCCGGAGGCAGGCGGCCCTGCAAAGACGGCTGAGGTGAGACGTGGCACGAGACGGATCCGGAATGGGCGGAAAACGGAGCATCGCCACAGCCGGATCCCAGTTTTCCTGGTGGGAGCGGGTGGCTTGGAGCAGGTCGGAGCGACTCGGTCTTTCTGAACTGCCTCTCCGCTTTTCCGTGCCTGCTTTTAGCGCCATGGAGAAAGGGAAGCTGCAGAGATCGGCCAAGGACGCGTCCAAGCGCAGCCGCCAGGTGAGCGCCGGGATCACGGGCCGGGATCAGGCGGGAACGTGCGTAGGCAGAGCAGCCCCATAGCCATAGGGGGAAAATCCCACGGGAGCAGCCAGGAGCTGATGGAGGAGAGGACAGGGCGGCCCAGGAAAACTCTCCCTTTGGATTTAGAGGGAATAAAACAACCAGCTGGTGGGAGCTGGATCTCCCGAGGAGGGGAGAGCAGCAAAGCACCCGGAGCGCTGGCTGGAAAACTGTGGTCGGGGGGCGGATGGGGTGGTTGTCCCCGGCCCCGACGGTGCCCGTCGCACCCGCAGGCGCCCGTCCTCTACGCCATGCTGGACCACAGCCGGAGCACCAAGGCGGCGAGCGAGAAAAAGGCCAAGGGAGTCCCGGGCGATTCCCGCAAGGAGAAGAAATAGCGGTTAGCGGGCAGGGAAGGGGAGCGCGGCGGCGGGCGCTGAATCCCCCCGCCCCCCGAAGGTCGTCATGACCATCGAGAGGGAGCTGAAGGGGGAGGCCGCCGAGGCCGCCGGCCTCCCGCCCGCCACCAAGTCCCCGAGCAAGACGAGCCTCAAAAGCGCCTTGAGGAACATGATCAAGATGGACTCGGAGAAGTGACGCCCCCCTCGGCGGCCTCCCCTTCCCGCGCGGAGAGGCAGCCGGAGCCGCGGGACCCGGCGAGGAGCGGGGTGTGATCCTCGCCCGGGGTCCCCCGGCCTCGGGGACACCGCGGTGTCCCCAGTTCGGATTGGGGACGCCCCGAAGCCCCTCGAGCGGCCCCTTCCGCTGCGCAACCGCTGCCCACGTGTCACTTTTTGTCTATTTCGAGATGAAACCCATGAGTTTTGGGCCCCGGGCTGCCACGATCCCCCCATCCCTCCCCGGGGACCTCCAGGATCCCTATGGGCTCACGCTGCCCCCATCCGTGCCCTCTGTCCCAAAAACAAAGCCTTCCGGAGGGTTTCCGTGCCCCAAATTGCCCCTTTTCTGGAG